CAAATGAAATTAATGGACAGCAGGTTTAAAACTAATAAAAGAAAGTTCTTCTTCACACAGCACATAGTCAACCTGTGGAACTCCTTGCCACAGGAGGCTGTGAAGGCTAGAACTAGAACAGAGTTTAAAGAGAAGTTAGATAAAGTCATGGAGGTTGGGTCTGTAACCAGGTGGTCTGCTAGGGGGTCTTGGGGGCACCCCAGTTCATGGGTCACTGCCCCAACCCTTCCCTGCTCCCGGCTTCTACTTCGCCATTCCCACGGATGCTTCCAGCTGCCCCTGGTCCGCTGCGCTGCTGCTCCGGATCGCTGTTCTCTCATGTGGTGCCAAGGAGTTTTAAAGTCCTGGGCCGTGATGTCACATCATGCCTGGGTGTCTCCCCGCTCACTTGAGAACGCCGTGAATGGTGTAACTGGGTAGTCTGCTAGGGGATTCTTGGGGGCACCCCAGTTCCTGGGTCGCTGCCCCAACTCTTCCCTACTCCCAGCTTCTACTCCGCCGTCCCCACGGTCGCTTCCAGCTGCCCCCGGTCCGCTGCACGGCTGCTCCGGATCTCTGGTATCTCAAGTGCCGCCACCACCGTGGTGCTCTCCGTCGTCTCCCTCCTTGCCGTGACAGCCGCCCGCGTCGGTCGACTCCCCTCCGAGTCCTCTCCTGGCGGCATCCCCAGCTGGTGCCTTGGCCGATCCTGTGGAGGAGGCTGAGAGCAGAATCCCCCCGGCTCTCTACTCGCCTCCATCCCTCCTCCGTCTCCCTCTCTCCTTTTAAACTCCCCGCCCGGCGTTTCTCTGGCCCCCGCCCTTCCTGGGGCCGCCCCCGGCCTCCCGGGTCCTAAAACCCGCCCGTTAGTCCCCGGGCTGGAGTGCGCCTGCGCACCAGCCGCGCCGGCTTCCCCCGACTCTGCTGCGTGGGGTGTGGAGCTGCAGATCCCGTGTCTGAAAGTGCGGGGGTGAGTTCCCCTGTCACAGGGTCCATGGAGTGCTATTAGCCAGGGGGTAGGAATGGTGACTCTGGCCTCTGTTTGTGGAAGGCTGGAGATGGATGGCACGAAA